AGGATCTGTGCGCCGATGCTCTTGTCAATGAGGTCTTCACAGGGGACGGGTCTCTAGGGCTTGTCTAGCTGTCATCCAGGGCTGCGTTTTGGTCGTCTCTAGGTGCAGGTCTACCATTTGGTCTGGATACAGAGCAGATCCGGCTGACTACAGTAACCTTAGGTTAAGAATGAGACAAACAGACTAATAATAGCATAGACATAATTCCTCTTACGATTTAACAAGTACATCGGATCTTATGGGAAGTGTTCCCAGTTGACCTAATTTATGCAGCCAAACAATTCTTTAGTATTAACATTTGACATTTAATCATTAAGTAGACACTTTTCTTCAAAGTGACTTACAAATGAGGAGAACAATAGAAGCAATCTAATACACAATAGTGCAACATTATGCACGTACAATTTGATGCCAGCGGCTATTGGCAACCAGTGCAAACTGATAAGGAGAGTTGTGACATGTTCTCCCTTTGACTTGTTAAAGACCACTCTCGCTACTGCATTCTGGATCTGTTGCAGAGGTTTGACAGCGCATGGTGGAAGGCCTGCCAAGAGAGCATAACAATAGTCCAGTCTTGATTGAACAAGAGCTTGGACAAGGAATTGAAGCACTGAAGTGTGGTTTCTGAGATGCTCATTGTCATGAGGGTTAACAGGAGGATCTGTTGGTTAACCATGTCAAAAGCAGCAGACAGATCCAGCAAGATTTGGAAGCTGCTCTTGCCAGTCTCAGAGCTTCAATAACTAAGAGAAAGGGAGTCTCAGTTGAGTGGCTGGTTGTTGAGCAGGAGGTTCTGTGTAGAAAGATAGAGACTTGGTTTAACACGACTCGCTTGGCAATGAATTGAAAAAGAGATACCGGTCTGTAGTTTTCTAAAAGTGCTGAATTGGAGTGGGTTTCAGAAGGAGTGGGGTGATCTGAGCCTGCTTAAATGTTGTGGGAATGCAGTGTGAAGAGAGGTGTTGATGATGCGAGTGAGTGCAGGTACAACTGAAGAAGAAATGGCTTGAAAGAGATCAGTGGGAATAGGATCAAGCAGATAGGTTGTAGGGTGATTGGAAAGGATGAGTTTAGGGACTTCTGCCTCCGAGGGCAGAGAGAAGGAGGGGAGTGTGTGTGTGTGTTTGTGTGTGTGTGTGTGTGTGTGTGTGTGTTTGCTGTTAAGATGTATTTGTCAGTTTGTGGTGTGGAGAATTGGCCGCTGATGGTTGTTGTTCAATTTATGAAGAATGTGGCAGTCATCAGCTGTTAGAGTTGAGGAAGGAGGGGGAGGAGGAGGACAAGGAAGAGAGGAAAAGCGTGCGAGAGTCAGAAGAATTCTTAATTTTGTTGTGGTAGAATGTTGTTTAGCAGTGGAGACATTTGCAGAGAAAGAAGAGAGGAGTGACTGGTACAAACTACGGTAAGTGTGATCTTTCGATTTGTGCCACTTCATCTCAGTTTAGAATGATGCTTGTGAAGAACATCAGATAGCCAGCGGGCGGAATGGATGTCTAGATGAAAGGGGGCAAAAGTTGTCTACACAAGCTGTTAGACTGGAGCAAAGAGCATCAGTAGCACTGTTAGAATCTAGTGATGAGAACTAATTAAGGGAAGGAATGAACCATATAGGGTTAACTTGACAGAGTGTGTATGCCTCCTGAACAACTCTAGGAAGACTGTTCCAGAGTTTGGGTGCTAACTAGGAAAAGGATCTACCGCAGAAGACTTTGTTGTTTTAAGCATTTTCAACTGGCCAGACTTTTGAGACCACAGTGGACATTAAGACTATGCAGTTGCTAGGGTTTGGTGCCATTTGATAAGGTTTTTTGAGAGCTTGTTAGTTCATTATTTGGTGTTTTGGATCATTTCTATGCATTAGATAAAGTGATCTGACTGTTTTTTAGCACGTTGCAATGCAGTTTCTAGGGTAGATGCCCTAGAACATTGTTGCTAAATGGCTGCTAAGGCATTCTGAATTTGTTTACAGTTGCTAGGTATTCTGGCCTGTTGAAAGGATATTATTATGTAGTTACTAAAGTGTTATGAAGGCAGATGTCCGAATGTTGTTATATGAGTTCTGAGTTGTTGTTAGTGTTAGTGGTATGTGGATGCTAGGGTTTTGTGTTTCAGCTCAATGGTGTTCCTATGCAACTGATACCATAGTGTCTGCTTGTTAGTATGTTTATGCAGCTGATAAGGTGACTGGTTTTTAACACATTGCAATGCAGTTGCTAGGGCAGAGACCAACCAGTTGTTATACAGTCGCTAAGGTGTTTTGAATCGTTGTTAGCACTTTGCTATGTGGTTGCTAGTTTTGTGTGTCAGTACAAGGGTGTTGCTATGCACTTGATAAGGTGTTGTGAATGCTTGTTTATTATGTGGATATTCTGTTTCTGGGTGGTTTCCAGGATGTTGCTGTGTGATTGTGAGGGTGATCGCAGCAGTTGTTAGCATGTTGCTATATGGTTAGACAGGTGTTTTGAGCAATTGCTTATATGATTGCCAGGAAGTTCTTGGTGGTTGCCAAGTTGTGTTGATTTGGGGTAATCAGTGGTTGTTAGGGTGTTCGCTGAGTTGTTGCTTACTGGCCCAGTCAAGGTTTAAAGCCCAGGAAACACATGTAGGGTACAACGGGGCTAAAGGCTCCATGGGGTAAAAGGCTCCTTTGATTTTGTTTTCCTCTAATGGTAATGATTAGAGTCTTGTTAATGATTTTCAGTTTTGTTCAAGGTAATTAAAGCAACAGTTTTTCAATAACAGAAGAATATGTAAAAGTATGGTATTTGGGGTAAAAGGCGCCCCTGCTGTCGGGGCTAAAGGCACAATAATCAACATGATAATAAACAGCTGGCTGACTTTTCCATTTGTTGACATGACATGGTTAGAATCAGATGGTAAATATCATATATTAAGTTTTGTGTCCACTTTATAGAGATAATCACCCTATTTATATGAATCATTTCACATAATAAAATATAATTGAATGTTACTACTGTAAATCTAAATTAAATGATGACAAAAAAAATATTTTTATATTCACAATTTTTAATGACAGTATAATTATTGAACAAAAATTAATTATTTTATTTACCAAAATAAACCGAAGATAGTACAAACTTTGTTAAAGTGATTGTTTTGCACAAGTTTTAGCTTAGACATCATTAAAAACATATTATTTTAGCTACAGTATTTGTATAAATACTGTGTGCCTTTTGCCCCCATGCTGGTGAGCCTTTTGCCCTGTGTGTGGGGTAAAAGGCCCACCTTGCCACCGCATACATTTATACCATTTTTAAACAAAATAAACCACTTTTATGATTTATTTTCACACAAAATCTGTTGCTCCATAAATGTTCAAACATATATTTATTTTTTTCTGCAATCATACACTATGCCTTTAGCCCCGTTGTACCCTACTTCTAAAAAAATATTGAATGCACTATAAATAATTGGAGTAAGTGTCCACAAAATGGATCTGCTAGTGGTGCAGAAACACATGTTACCTTTTTCATTTACATTAAAATATGATTGTAGTTTGTGTACAGCAGATCTTTTGAAACGAAATTCTCTTGAGTGATGGGAAACTCCAATTTCATGTTTTTCCAATGGGGTTACTTTTTTCATAGTTTTTTCCTCTACCAAAAATTGAACCCAAACATCAGTCAGATGTGTCAATATTATCAGGGTAACCCATTTGCACTTTTGCTTTATTCTGTTTGCACTTGAAACGTTAGTGACATGCTGCGACCACAAACACTGAAGTGAAGCCCACACACAGTCGCAAGGATTCTCTGTCTGAGTCATATGAGCTCTTTAACACCACACACCCCTCCAAACACATACACTGCATGAATGTCAGTCTGGATTGTAAAGATATGTGTGTGACATTTAGAGAGAACTAATGCTGATACAATCATGTTTTCCACACATCCCACACACTCGTACAGCTGTGGCAAACTAAACTTTAGACGCAACAGAAGCTCAGCTGCACATTTGAGGCTGTGTATCTTCTGAGGACAGTTGAAGTGGAGTATGGCATTAACCATGGCATTAAGAGAGTAACATTAACCTCAATTCTGATCCTCTCAGCCTCTAATGCGCAATATTGTCATCAGTGGTGAGTGAATGTACTGAGGAAACAACCATTAAATAGAGGTGTTTTTTTTTGCATTTGGCAATTTAGATCTTGCATGATGCCATTTAATGTTTTAGATATTTTTAGATACATAGTTTGGATGAGGGTGTTCTTTAGTCTAACATTTACACAAGTGGCAGTTTTTAACTGTAAATGTACCACAGTAACACTGTGCACAGTAGCACTTTACACACTTTACAGTATGAAGTATAAATAAACAAATAAACAAAAACGCACCCTGATCTTACTGGTTTTGTTTAATTGCCACTAGGTGGCGCTTTGTATCTTAAAACTAGAATAAGTCCACAAAAAATCCCCCCAAAAAAAAAAAAAAATCTCTGAAGTACTTCATATCTTGTACTGCAGCTGAAAGTGGTCCAAATCCAAATTTCTCCTCAAATTATTATTATTATCTAACACACTCTTAACCATGAGGTACATGCCAGGATGATTTTTAAACAGCACTGAAATTGAATGTACTGATACAGTATTATATATTGACTGCCTTTTAGAGTTACTATCCAAAAACACACATTTAAAGATGAATGTGATAAATGTGTGTATACGCACAAACACACACACATAAGTTTAAATTTAATTTAAATTTAATTTTAAGTAAGTTTATATTTCATATAAAATGAATACATTAATGGTCGATTTGTTTTTAGTGCATTTGATCAAAATGAATGTCAAAGAAACATCCTTCTCCTTTCATGGAATGATCTCTAAGACAAAGAGAGTTTGAGAGACAGAGCTAGCTTTAATTTTCGTAGCACTTCCTCTCTCGTTACATAACCCCTCCTTCCTCTGTCTGATCCCTTCTGTAAATTCAACTCTCCTCCTCCTGTGAGGGTGGACTTGGTATGATCCACTTGCCCCAGACCCGAGGACCCTGAGCAGAGAGACGCGGCCACTGGCTCTGCTGCAGAGGAAGTGCACGACTGAATCTACAGCCAGAAGTCTCAGAGACAGAGAGGGAGATGAGCTGTGTCAGAGTCCAGTCTTGCTCTGGGACGGCAGACTGACTGAAACTACCGGGAAAGCACTCAGTTTTCACAGCTGTGCATCTCTGTCACTCTGGAGTCATGAGCTCAAAGGGGACGAACCTGCACAACAAACGTCTTCCCTGTGAGTATTTTACCTTTTGTTGAATTATTTTGCTCATAAAGATATGACTCTTCTTACACTCTGCTTGACAACATGCATGTCAGATGACCAGTCATTAACCAAAAGAAGAATCATTGTGTCATTAAATAACATGTATGGCTAGTTGTCACACTGTTTTCTCCAGTGAATATTTCTCAGTTTAGGGTTATTATTTTTGATAATCAGTTCCTAAATCGATGCAAACCCTAAAAATTTCCTTTATTTCCCAAGAAGTTTAACTTTTCTGACTGCATTCCTCACTGTCATTTAGCATGCCCACCTGTTATTGTAAAATAATTATTAAACACAAAGCAATTAATGAAAAAGATTCAATGTTAAAGACTTGCAAAATATGAAACCACTGTCCTTAAATATGTATACAATTACAAAATATAAAACATATGACATGTAAAAAACCCTTGTCCTGAAAACACTACTTATCTTTTCAATTAAAATGTACCGTCATTTTAATACTTTTTTACAGGATGTATGCCCGTATGGTTTTGTTTACTTGTTTGAAGCCAAAATTTTAAATATATGCTGATTCAAGAATTCATAATGAATTTATAAAAAATATTCTATTCTGTTTGAATTCAGCGTACAAAACTACTGCCAGTAAAAACAGTGTAATTTACAGTGGCCAACGCACTGCAAATAAAGAAAACATCAGCAAATAGAAAAAACACCAGCAAAACATCTTGATCAGTTTGCCAACACAAGTGCTGCAAATACTCACAACACAACCAAATACAGAAACGCGCTGCGAATACTCAACGCAACCTAAAACAGAAAAGCAATGCAAATACCCAAAATGTGACCAAATACAGAAACGCACTGTAAATACTTAACACAACCAAATACAAAAATGCGCTGTAAATACTCACAACGCAACCAAATATAGAAAAGTACTGCAAATACTCACATTGCAACCAAACAGAAACGTGCTACAAATACATACAATGCAACTAAATACAGAACCGTACTGCAAATACTCACATTGCAACCAAATACAGAAACGCGCTGCAAATACTCACAACGTAACCAAATACAGAAACGTGCTGCAAATAGCACAAAGTTTTCTGCAACTGAAGAAAATGCATGCACATGAAGAACATCTTCATCAGTTTGAAAACACGTGTGCAGCAAATACAATGCAACCAAATTCAGAAATGCGCTGCAATTCCTCACAACAAGTGATGAACCTGGCTCGGACATGCTTAGCTTATTGTTCAAGGTCTACTCGTCAGTGGTGTTGTTGATGACCTGAAAGATTTATTTTAACATCCTGATCGTATGTGCAATGTGAGTATTTGCAGCGCGTTACTGTATCAGCCTGCCCAAAGATAAGAGGTCATTGCGGACCCTTGCCCCGAAAGAGGAGTCCCTCAGTGAGTCTGACCAGGGGTGTGAGCCCACGACATCAGTGGCCGAGGGTATCTGGGTGGATTTTGAGACTGAGGACTGGCTGATTGAATTTAGGTATTGTCTCCCACCCTATTCCACCCCATTTTGGATTTTTCATCACTGTTCCTGATGGACTGTATGAACTTTCTTCCGGTTTCCTCTGAACCTTCATCGCTGTTTCTAGACAGCACAGACACATGCATGGACATTGTATTGTTACCTTTGACCCTGTCTAGTCTTCTTCTGCCTTCATCACTGCCCTGCTCAGCCAGTCCTCCAGCCCCACTTCTGCTAGAGGTTGTCAGCCTTTCGCCATCTCCTGCAATGCCAAGCACTCACGTCAAGCCTCAGGTCCTGCAACCACCATTAGCGCCTGAGCGGATAGAGCCACTGGATCTATCCGCTCAGGCGCTACTGGTGGTTGCAGGACCTGAGGCTTGACGTGAATGCTTGGCATTGCAGGAGATGGCGAAAGGCTGGCACTCCACCAGGCACCCTCAGCCTTACGGCTCTACCAGGTTCCTTCATCCCACCGGTCAGTCGTCACTGCTCCTCCGCCATGGACTTGCTACGCTCCGTTCCTCCACCCCTACTGCTGCAGCGGGCTCCTCTTTCCCTTCAGGTACGCCTCGGTCCTCCATCACACCGGGATCAACAAGTCCTCGGGCAGTCTGGCTCCTCTTCAGATGATCGTCACCTCGGCATCGCCTAGGCCTCCTGATGTCACTCTTCTCCATCGGCTCTCACTACCTAGGTAGTGGCTAATGGGGATCCAAACAAACAGATAAACAATTAAACAAACTCATCAGATCATCACACCTGTTCGTCATCTCCTCATTATCACTGTCTTTTAAGTTCCTCACCTTTACTCTGTGTTTGTCGGTTGTTGTTTGTGTGTGCGTGTTACACACGCTGTTACGTTGCCTTCCTCTTCATGGATTATCGGAGTTCATTTTATTAAAAGACCCTTTTGTTCATTGAAACCTTTTTGAACTCTCCTTCATCCTAATCATCTTTATCTGGTAACAATTTGCAGCACATGTGTTGTCAAACTGATAAAGATTTCTTTTTAATTTGCTGGTGTTTTTTCTATTTGCATGTGTTTTCTTCAGTTGCAACATGTTGAGCTCTCTCTGCCACTGTAGTAGTTGGACTTTTGACTAAAAGCATATAACTTCATGTGGCAACTAACCCCGGTCTCATGTGAATGTGTGACAAATCATATTACATATTATTCTCCTTGTAGATAACAACATTAAAAATGCCCCCCATTATTTGGATGATGGGGGGGGGGGGGGGGGGTCTGTTATGTAGATTTTCTATTTCTAAAGGGCTCCCGTTGTTTTGACCAAACATTTAAAGAGCTGATGACTAGATGAACCTGTCAAAGCTTGGATTCTAGATGTGTTGGGTGTAACCTGTCTGAAATCCCTCTAAATGAAATAGTTTTTCTGACATTTTTAGCAGATGGGACTGTATACAATCCAAGTTCCCACACTCTCTGGTCTCAGACACACACATGCTTAGAGGTTGAGACTGGAAATTAGATTGGCCACATGAGTATTTGTTACACTATTTTTTCAATTTTGCTCTAATTATGAGTAAAATGTCCATGTCTGTCAAAAAGATTTGCACTCCAGATGTTTAGGATGGTGTCATTCAGGTCCAGTGGAATGACTTATCTACGGGAATGGCACTTGTTGAGTGGCACAAGTACATTTTGCAAATTGTCTTCATTTTGTGTTACAAATAATTATGGTAATGTTTCTGATTTGTCAAAACAAGGCAATATGGTAAAATTGAATGACAAATACATAGAAAAATAGACTAAATGTATGAGGTATGTTTTACTGGAAATTACACTTCACATTTTAGCGACCATTAATTTCAAAAAAGGAGAAGTGCCTACTTGATTCTGTTACCTACTGATGCATTCAAAATCAAAATTGATTAATTTTGGGCTAAATATACTTGGTTTTATCTAGTGCTGCCACTGACGACTAATTTTCTAACGACTAATCTTAATTAGTCGACTAATCTAAACGACTAATTAAAAAAAAAAACATTATTTGTCATTTTGTTGTGTCCATTTTATTTTGAACTCAACTGAAGGGCCAAAATATAAAATGTCACCTGTTGAAAAACATTATGTATTGTAGTGAAGTTTTTCTTCCACACAACAGACCAGGAGACTTTGAGGTATCTTTCACGCAGAAGTTCTTTATTGTGTCGCTGTAGTCATCTCAAGAATAGTCTAACTAAATTAAAATACAGACTGTTCATATACCTTACAAGGGGGAGGAATTACATAGAGGTGGAGTCACTCTGAAACAAAGCATGCAAATGAAGTGGGAACACACCCTACTCTGAGAGCCCTATCAGTCCAATTGAATCAGCATAACTTATTCAAATGCTGATACTGGCCAGGAACTCTGGTTCCAAGAGCCATCCCAGAGCCATTAAAGACAAAAGGTGGAAGTCTCCCCTATAGCTAATCCAATCAATCTAGGCTGAGAGGTGAGAATCTCAGTGATCTGATTAATTTAAAATACAATGGAGAAAACAGGACTGGCAGGAAAGGAGACTCTTGCTGGAGACTCAATAATCATCTGAAATCTGTCTACTAAACTTTATCAGTTTATATACTATTGTAGTGGAAACCTAAATTAAACATTTAATAAATGTGTAATCCTACAGTATTAACAATCTAAGCATAAGTATCTGCATTTCCATTAGGCTATACCATATTAGTCAGAGTCCTAATCTAATCCTCTATTAACAAACATGCATGTATTCATTACTTAAATTAGCTCTTTGTTCTGCCTTAAATTAATACATTAGCTTACTGTACATTTTTATATGTACATTTCTGAAATGCATAACTGAAAACATCACTCTGAATTGTAGGCTAAAGTAGATGCAATGCATGCATTTTAGGTAAAGCTGCTTTGAAACAATATGTATTGTGAAAAGCGCTATACAAATAAATTGGAATTGAATTGAAAGAGTCTGGACTAGCCTACTACGCTTAGCTCTGCCTTATAATGAATCGCGCTGAAAGCAGGCAGGCACGCAGCTATGCAGCTTCCGTTTACACTTGCATGCATGCCGGGCCCGTGCCGCGGTTCGCGTGAATGTGAAAGCAACACGGACTCGGGTGCGCGTTTTAGCTGATTATGTATTTAGTTAAATAAAACACATGTAAGGAATGATAGTGTTGATGATTTACCTTGGATACGAGCGAGAGCGAGTCTGCAGTGTATTCGCGCTTAACGCGTGAAATCAGGGCAACAAATTTGGAAAAGAGTCTCCTCAAAAGAGTCCATTTGCAAGCAGCAGAAGGCCACCTTATGCGAAACACGCACCTGTGTTGTTCACTCAGCTGCGCATAATAGCACAGAATTAATAAAAAAATATATATATATATTGACCCGCGTTCTGTTTTCTATCATACGCCGTGCACGTTTGCGATGGCGTAAGATGCACGCAAACACATCAGGGTTCGGTAGAATTAAGTTGAGTGTGAAACCAGACCAACGCTGCGGGGGCGCCGGGAACAATCGAGCTCGGGCTCGGAC